TAATATCTTTGCGGAGTGCGTTAATTTTTCAGGTAGTGGCAGTCCCCTCTTGTTTTATTGTTTATTCTGCAGGTTGTCTTATCACCTGTGCTTTAGAAAGTTGTGTCCTAACCCTTTGAGTTTTCCCTGGTCTGTTCATTTTGTTGTCAATATCTAGATAGCAGCCATAGTAATGACAAATGAATATGTGCTGATGCATCTATATGTATATAATGTTTCTTTTTCTTTTTTCCTAAAAAGAAGTGCTGCGTCAAACTCAGAACCCAGATTGGCTTCCAAGTCTCGTTTCAACTTTTTTTATTTTATCAATTTTACGTTGTGTGAATCTTTGTAAAGTTATGAAGTTCCTGATCCTAAGGTACCTTTCCGGTTTTTTGGAAGAGCTTCCAGAAAAGAACTCCGAACGAATTATCTTCTCATCCTTGCTGATCTCAGACTTGTCCAGCACGACTTCTGCAACAGGAGGCTCGAATGTAACGGCACCGGACGCGCTTTCCTCCAGACCCCCTGGCCTGTCTGAACTTATTTCGTTCTCAGTGTCTTCTGCAGATGAATCGGTCGCCAGCTTAGGGGTAGCTACTCTGACTAACGCGTCACTCTTGCGGATCGGGAAACCGGGCGGGGAGAACACGACGTCGTCGGTGCTGTCGCAGTCTATGTCTATGTCGTCTTCCTCGTCGGCAGACTTGTCGATGCTGACAATTTCAATCTCCAGAAACTTGTTCTTCAAGGTCTCAATGGCTTCAGCCTCTTTCAGTACGATGACATTCTCGTTGCGCGAGGTCGCCTGCGGTTTTGTCTTCATCTGCTTCTTCGGTGGTCTGGACACTGGTCCTTTCGGTGTGGCAACAAGCACATTGTTGTCGATGGCTTGACCAGAGGTTTTTCCTTGGTGAGCACTTTTTCTTAGCAGGTAGTGAGTGTGCGTCTTGACTTGGATGGTGCTGTTAGTCTTGATCAGGGCAGAAATCTTGCTCCATTTATTCCAATGTTTCATGCATTTCAACAAAAGGGCTTCTTCTTCGGCATTCTATTTCTTCCTTGGCGTTGATCCGCCATCAGTTCCAGTGGGAGCAGCTGGTGACTGCTTTTCAGTTTTAATTTCAAAAGTGTTTGCCTCTTCTATGCACCCAGTCTCAATCTCAACTGTTCCATCAATGGTTGCGGCGATTCGGGCATCAGTTTGCCACAGAGGCTTGAAAGTGTCATTGAATTCAAGCAACTCATCGCAGTTGGCATCTCTGAAGAGGGTTGTGTCGGCTTGGAAGTCACTTTTGACATCCACAGACTCCCAGAAGCAGACATCTTCCTCGAAGGACGCCATGAAACCGACCGCATTAACGTTGCCTTCACGCCGTATTACTTGACCACAAGCACCATGACGGGTGCAACGCTATAAAACTGCACTCGTTTAAGATGACATTACGGAAAGAAGGTGTTGGGGCCGCCACTATAAAAACAAATCACATTTGCATTTTAAACAAGTAAACAGCGCAGCCATAATGCTCTTCGGAGAACACTAGCGACACAAGGTTGTTTTATTATTTCACTCAGCCGCAGAGTGTGGCCTTTATTTCAATACTTTTAGTTTTTTTATAATTATAACAGCTTAATAGCCAGGAGTGTATGAAGTACGAGACGCACACCGTCAAAAAACTAACACTGCGAGATAGTGGCGGAGATAGTTCAGAAGGAGCTCCTATACCCTTCTTGTAATTCCAAACTCCTGATAGTCATGAGGGTGCCCAGGCTTCCCCTTTTGTGGGGCTCAAGGTTTGGCACAGGGCTCCCCCTCTCCTTTGTATGATTTTGTATGAAGCTGGCATTGCCCCCCCCCCCTTTTATAGGACTGGGGGGGGGTGCTCTTCATGCTCATGCCTATGCTGATAGCCAAAACGAATGAAATGAACAGTGAAAATATATTTGAAATTTGCCAGATATTACAACCAAGTGAGAAACCATACTGTACATAACTAGCTATTACATTGAACATGTCTGTGCATTTAAACACCATGATACTAGAGTGACTGAAACTGTAAGCTCGTAAATTAATATCTATGTATAGATTCATTCGAATGACTGTTTCCTTTGTAAACATATTACATTAAGTAATTACATTGCTCTTCAAAAATCTTGGACTGCAGGTGTGCGATTTCTGTACTTCACTATAAAGAGAATGCCGACAATCTTCAAGCATCTATGCGGAGTGGGGAGCTCCGGTGGCGGGTAAAGCATACCAAGGCAGAGAATAGAGAAGCCACAGTCTCCTCAATAAAGGTAGATCCTAGCTAAGGTGCGTAACATCTAATGGTTTACAACCACAATATTTGCACTATATTTGTTAAAAGCTTGTATTCTTAAACTCACAACAAAACTCACAATAAAATGAAATAACAGTTTTGCAAGTTCTTAAATGCACAACTAATATTATTTGAATCTATAAAATCGTCTTTTTATTTATCTATACATTATTAAAGTTTCTTTATTTTTCTCTGTAATTTCATAAAACACAGTAGCGTATAAATATTTAAAACTCCTTTTATCCTTGATTTTGTCGATTCATGCCAATAACATTACTTTTAGCAAGTATTGGTGCTAACAAATATAGCTGAGCCCACTGTGCTTGCTGAGGGGTATTCATAGATGTAGTATTTGCAGATATATTCCAGAGAGCTATTCTTGATGTGTACATCTTATAGACTTTCCATTTTGGCCAGTGTTTATTAGGATGAATGGGATTACTTAAACATGGCTGTCATTTGGAATGCAAGCTGAACCAGACTACTTCGTGGAGAGCAGCAGTAGCTCCGCCTACGTAGCTTTCCCTTCATTGCCACAGAAAGTTGTCCCCGAGTATAGCAATAATTTGGACCAGCAAATGACTATTCTGCTCCCATAAAAAAAAATGTTATAGTTTTTTTTCGCCACCCCTACTGCTCCGTTTTACAAATCTCTTGAAGTCGCCAGCTGGGCAGATCAACATTCAAATTATCTTTATTTATTTATTTAACGATACTGTAGGTCTTCTGAAGTCCCATACAGGAAGCGGGCATACATCATCACAGGTAACCAATTAGATACAAAGTTCAGGAAATACAATGTTTTGAGGAACAATACGCACAACAGCGAAACACTTACATTAGCAGTTATTTATTTTAGTAATTTATTTTATTTACAACATACTGCGGTCTTGAAAAAGACCAAGCAGGAGAGGCACAAAAATTAAGTGGAAAACACACGTAAGCGAGATATATGAATGATGTGCACAAAATACAGAAGATAAGTACATTATACAGAGATATATAGATGAGCTTAAACACTGGTTAATACGACCTTCAGAACAACGGTGATGGGTCTATCTCACTATTATACATTCACAATTGCGATAAACAGTGAAGCAAGACGAGTACAGACTACAGTACAGACAATATGGCACGCTCAAAATGGCAAATAGACTGAGATGTGAAAACCACTTCAGGCAGCAAATTCCATTTCGATACTGTACGTGGGAAAAACGAATTCTTGAACATATTCGTGTGGGCTCGATACGGAAGCAAATTGTGCGTGTGCCGATGTCTCGTGGGGCGCGATTGAAATGGCTGAATGTATACCGATGCATTCACCTTTGTGGAACCAGTATAAAGAGCAAACAGCAGTTTCAGCCCATCGATTTTTCGTCTATCTTCCAGGTTGAAATGCTATTCGCCAGCATTAGAGAAGTTGGCGAGTCGGTGATCCTATATTTGTTGAAAATGAAGCGTATAGCGTGTCTTTGCACCATTTCAAGCCGGTACTTATCTTTTTTAAGGAAGGGGTCCCATACGACCGAAGCGTATTGCAGTTTAGAAAGTATTATCATCTTGAAGGCCATTAATTTGAGATGAGTTGGTGACGCTTTGAGTTTATGCCGTAAAAGGTCTAACTTGCGTGTGGCAGATGTGCAGATGTTATCTATGTGCTTTGACCACGACAGAGTATTGGTGAACGTTATCCCGAGGTATTTTACTGGCTTTTTTCTATCACTGGTGGACCATTTAATGAATAGAAAAACTGAAAGGGTTGTTTTTTCTTTGTTACACGAAGTAGAACTGTTTTGTCAGCGTTCAAGCTCATACCACAGGTAGTGCACAACTGACCATTTCCCGTCAAACTGCTGTTTAACAAGACTTGGTCATCGGTGCCCGTGATTTCCTTGAAAATAAGACAGTCGTATGCAAACAATTTTATGGAAACTCTCGGGTCAATAGCAGATGTTGAGTGGGTCCGGCAGCATGCTAACGATGGCCCGTGCTAACGTTCCTCGCTTCTTCCTGGTGCGGTTTCTCGGACTCTGGAGTTTGCAGCTACTGGAGCCTTCCGGCCCCTGTATTCCGTTCCCACCATCTGCTGTCAGGCCATGGCCGGACGCGACGCCTCTGCTGCCCGAGGATCATGCGGTGGGACTGTTCTGGTCCTCAAATCAACCTTTCTTCGGAGCATCCTGGTCTGCGCACTTCGTGCCCAGCCGTCGACCGTATCAACAAGCACCGTGGCTTTCAGTCGGCCACTTGAACACCGGAACCTCTCCTGCACATTCCACGCATGCGTGGGATTTGGTTAAAAAGCAAGCTCAGAGCAACACTTCTTTCAGTGGGTCTGGCAGCATGCTAACGATGGCCCGTGCTAACGTTCCTCGCTTCTTCCTGGTGCAGGTAATGAACTCTTATTGCCTTTACGCAAAACCAACTAGTCACCGAGCACTCTTGGTGCTGCCGGGCCCACGGCGTTTTGTTCCATTGTGAGTGATTGTTCTCATATGTTACTAAACCTTGTCTTGCTAGCTGGTGATGTTGAATCTAATCCCGGCCCCGACAAAGAAAT